GACACATTTCGACTCCGTTGAGATTTGGATTTGGGTAACATAAATGTGCACCCGAGTTTAAGAAAGTAATTTATTAAAAGCGCGCCTAAAGTGACTAGCGCGTTATTATTTTGAGGAAAGCCGTGAAATTCATTAGATGGTCCGTCCCGAAATATAAAGTATTTTAATGTAATATTTACTGAGGGCCCCGCAACTTATGCGTTTTATTTGGCGAGGCTCACCTCATTTATTCTTTAAAGGCTAATCCTAAAATAACTATTATTATTCTATTTATTTGTCTCCAAAGAAATAAATAAAAGGGGGCCCTCATTAGTTATTATTAGAAAATCCTATAGTCTATCAATTGAAAATTAGTAGACCAAATGCCATTTCAACATTAGGTCCAAAGAACCCAATCCATATGCTGGATCGAGTTTTGAACTACACGACTTGGTTATTTGATTCTGCTAACATTCATGAATAAGTTAACTGATTCAAATTCAAGCAAACTATTGATATTAACAATTAACATGCAATTACTTGTTCCTACGTCGAAGTAGTGAGCTTAACGAACAAAGGAGAGGACATCAATAACTAGCATGTTGGGCTGTTTTAAAAGCGCGTTTAACCTGAAATCGGAATAAGCACCACATGTTGACTTCTGAATTAATTGTAGGTCCAAACAATACTGATATTCGATTTTTAACTCAATGTTAACTGAAATCAATACTAAACTATACTAAGTCTACAACTAATGAACACGAATTAACAGTTTAAACAGTCCTAATTAGGTACAAACTTCATAGTCTACATTTCATTGAGTTATAGATTAAATTGGACTATACAACTACTTATCATCTATATCTACTGAGCTACAGATACAACAACAAATAATTAAGGGCCCGAGCACTTCCATTTCATGTTTACATCTCAAGGCTACATCAAATTGAGCTTAGTTGTGTACCTGGATTGCAGTGAACCGAAGAATAAAGAGGAAGTCAACAGCAGTACAACACAGTAAACAACAACAGCAGCAAATAACACCAGCAGACAGCAAATTGGAATTCAGAAACAACTCCAAACCCAGTTTTCAAATCAGAAAAACACTTGACCACAACTCATAACCAGTTTTGAAACCAAACATCAACAACAAATAACTCCGGGCAACTAATTGGACCTCAAACTCAAACAGAAAACCAACCAGTGAACCTCAAACACTCCAGTAAACAGACTTGAAGCTGGAAACTACACCCCAACAATTGAAAGTCAGGCACTTTACTTCAAGCTTGCAATACTATTTTTTACTGATTAAAGAAGGATCAAATTCAGAACCTAAGAGGACTAATTTCTTTTTTTTTCTATATTTCCTGATATTCTTTTTGTGTCACCTTTGAGTCTAATTTCAAAAGCGCCCCCCTCCCTTTTAACTCTTTCCAGACCCCTATTTATACCAAAACTACAGCCCTTATCTGCCTTGAAACACTTAAACTAATCAGAAAACATCCTGCCCACACTCCCTGAACCCCCACTACCATAATATGTCTTGTTCTTTTGTTTTAATCAAAGGTTATGGGTGAATTAACTTGTTTAATCAACTTCCCATGCCAGTAAGCCTTGTTACCCACTATTACTAAACAATTCATTAGTTTAATGGTACTTTAGTACCCTACTGTCAGACCATTCAACTTAAACCATTTTCAAACCTTTTAAATCCCAAAATACCCTCCTAAAGTCCCTGAAATTACTGTCCTACCCAATCCCTTTTAATCTGTATTAAACCTTTCAGCTCTAACCTATTCAAACCTACCAACTAACTAAGCTGAATCCTAATTAACCAACAAACTACAATAGCTATAACCAATTCAACTTATCAAATCAGTCAGTAATTCAAGATAGAAACTCATATCAAATCAAATGGCATCAAAAATGAAGACTAAGGGTTCAGGGCAGCACATATTGAACTAACTATATTGGGGAACCAATCATATTTAGCTCAGAAACAAATGAACTGAAATCAACTAGACGAGCATACGCTTAATTAAATTAGAATACAAAAGAAGAAACAACCAGAAGAGCTTTAAGGGGATTGACAGATTCAGGATAACAAATGACCAATAAATTCAGTTCAATGTGATGAACTGAATATACCAACAGACTCAATTCTAAGTTCAAATATACCAACAGGCTCATTTCAACACAAAATTTAGAACATAAACGAAGCAGGAGAGGAAATAGACTGGAATGAACTATGAAATTAAAACCAAAATTAAACTACTATCGTGTTAAACTAACACTCAAACCTACCGGACTAATCGACGAAACTTATTGATTAAACAATTATAACATATAATCAACAACAGAAAATTTGGACCAAGAAAAAGGTCCGAAGAGAGGAGGAGGAAAATCATTGACAAAACCGGACTACAATGAAACTTTAAACAGATAAACAACAAACAACAAAAAAAAATGAAAAAGAGATGGAAATGAAATACCTCAAAATCTATAGACCGAACTCCAATCAGTTTGACCTTCGACTTGAACCTTTTGAGGTAAAAACGAACTTTAATCGAGTGTTCTCGACTGAGAACACTCAACTAAAGTCGATTAAAACCCCAATTTCTTTTTCCCCTCTGACTGACTCTAGGTTTGGTGNAAATATAACACCTCCATTCTCCAGGCGGGCTCCTGACTTCCAACACAACTTAAAAATATAACACATCCATTCTCCAGGCGAGCCCCTGACTTCCAACACAACTTAAAAATATAACACCTCCATTCTCCAGGCGGGCTCCTGACTTCTAACACAACTTAAAAATATAACACCTCCATTCTCCAGGCGGGCTCCTGACTTCAACAACTTCTTAAAATATAACACCTCCGTTCTCCAGGCGGGCTCCTGACTTCAACTACAACTTAAAGATACAACACCTCCATTCTCCAGGCGGGTTCCTGACTTCAACAACTTAAAAATGTGTTCTATTGTCGTTGTTCCTCCCTGCCTCTTGAACCATTTTCCTTCTAACTTGAATTATCTTCTTTCAGAACTGCTTCCTTCAAAACTGGTGTTTCATTCCTCTGAGACTATTGGCGATAACACCGGTGTTTCATTCAAAAATATGTTATTCTCCTCCTTCCAAGACTAATTCCCTTAAAGCTCGTATTTTCCTTCCTCTGGAACTACTTCCCTTAAGACTTGTGTTATCTTCCTCCCGAAATTGCTTTCTTTAAAACTTGTATTGCCTTTTTTCGAAAACTGCTGTGGATATCGCTTCCCTCAAAACTTGTGTTAGATTTCCAGAATATTTTCGAAATGAAAGAAAATTTTCTGCCCCAGTTTGACAATCTTTCTTGTGGCATGTCTTTCCGTCATCAATAACGTTTGATGTCCCTACTTCAAATCAAAGAAAATTTGTTAGTTTAAAATGTGGGGGACGTTCCTGCTGGGTATGGTTTTCCCTTTCGCTCTTTTCCATGCTCTGCTTTGTTCGACCATCTTGAAACTTGGCCGATAACTTTTGACCTTCTTGATGCTTCTGTATTCGCCCACTTCTCAACCGTTGTTTTCCACTTTTACTCCATACTTTCCACGACATCTTAGAGTAATCCATCATTTGGTCTTATAATGACGTCTTTCTTATCCCGTCACATTATCTTCAGCCTATCTTATCCCCATTTATCTTGCACCATGTTGGCAACTGGTAGTTGGCTTTGAAAATCCTTCTTAAAAACAACTACTATAAAAAATCTTTAACTAGAAAATTTGAAAGATGATGACTTCCAAAGATAAAAAGAAAATTCTTTCTGAACAATTGTTTGAAGAGAAAATAACTTATCTGAATGGTATAACCGATCCCAATGGTCATGTCGTGCATTTTTGGATTAATCAACCCAGTCTGTTTACATCCATCAATCTTTCTGATATCCCTACTTTGTATTTCCAAGGTCCCGCAACCCATCTTCTTTTTGTTGAACAACATCTTTATTCTGCTTGATGTCTCGACGGATCCTTTCCATCAAGCTTATCTCGTTTGTCCCCATTTAATTCCTTGTCGCCTTATAGTGCCCTTCGAGGGGTTTTCACTAATAAGACTCTCTCGTTTCTCTCAACTCTCGTCGCCTTATGGTGCCTGTGAAGGTTTTCACCAATAAGACTCTCTCGCTTTATTTCTCTCAATTTCCGTCGCCTTATGGTGCCTGTGAAGGTTTTTACCAATAAGACTCTCTCATTTTATTTCTCTCAATTTTCGTCGCCTTATGGTGCCTGTGAAGGTTTTCACCAATAAGACCCTCTCATTTTATTTCTTTTCAGCTGGGGATTGGGGTGTTACTGATAAGATTCTCTCATTTCATTTCTTTTCTGCTGGGTGTAAGCACGTGATTTTTGCCCTATGTGAGAATTACTCCCAAAAATTCAAAATAAAATAATTTTCCTTTGTGTGCAATTTTGAGAATTTTCGTGGCATTTTTGGATAATTATTTGTATTTGCCCATGCATGTTTATTTGTAAAATTAATAAAAACTACAAAAATATGTCGCATTTGCATTTAGGATTTAATTTTACAATTAGGGGGAATTAAGTTTGTTTTACAAGAACAAAAAATCATAAAAATAATGTACGTTGCATTTTTAGCATTTAATGTCCCAATTGTGTGATTTTATTGTAATTGCTATTTAATTGTGTGTTAATTGTTATTAAGAGTTAATTAGAACTTTTATAAATCAATTTAGTTCTATAGGATAATTAAGGATTTTTAGAGTTTAGTTTTTAGTTTAAGAAAAAATAAAAGAAGAAAAAAGAAGCAAGAAAAGAAGAAGAAAATCGGATTGGGCCTTTTCTTCAATTTTAAACCCCAGGCCCAAACCAAATAACCCCTTAACCAAACCCCTACTGGGTCAGCCCGACCCGGTCCACCCCATAACCCAAACAAACACTCCCCTTCTTTCATTTTCATTTTTTCATTTCCCAACCCCAAAACCCTAAAAATGAGCTGCCCGCCCCCTCTCATCTCCTTCTCCAAACGACCCTTTCACCCCAAACTCCCATGGCTGCTTCCTTCATCTTCGTCGGAACAACCAAGCGACGAACGCCATGGCCGCTTCTTCTTCTTCTTCGTCAGCGTCATCAGCTGCCCGTCGACCACTCTTTAGTCGAGCAGCTGCCCTCTCCTTCTTTTCCGTCGAGCAGCAACATCTCCAGCTCACATGCCCATGGCTGCCCTCCTCTTCATCACTTTGCCTGCGATTCTCTTCTGCTGCGCCGCGAGGGACCTATCAGAGCTTAATTTCCCTTTCTCAAAGTCTTTTAGTCATTGTGGTCATTGGCCACGTTGACTCTGGAAAGTCGTCCACCACTGGTCACTTGATCTACAAGCTTGGTGGTATTGACATGCGTGTTATTGAGAGGTGCGAGAAAGAAGCTGCTGAGATGAACAAGAGGTCATTCAAGTATGC